ACATACAGTACGTTATTTGTTTTCACCATAGACTCTATATAAAGATCTTCTTATCATGTCCTAGCATGTGCAAGTAAAAGTAAAATGCCCGTTTGTGAGGAAAGCAGCTGGCGGATCTCTTGGTGGGCGACAGTCAACAAGTCACATGTCGCAGTTGTAATTTCTCTTGAATGCAACACAACATTACTCTCCACGCACTATAAGATTACTGTTGTACAAACCTGGTTATCCACCTCCAGTTAGTGTTCAGCATCCACAAAATGTCATTAACACAGACCCCTGTTATTTCTCCTCCCTCTGAGAACAATTTCATTCACTGCGTTAATTGTTTTGCAGAATGAAAGTGCACACTGCTGTGATGGAGGAAGCCTCTAATAATGTCTCGTGAACTTGCATATCTGCAGGCCTGGTGGCTGATTAAAAACTGAGAAACAATTTATCAGAGACTTAATCACTTTGGATAAGTCATTAAGTTTGTGCTCATAAATGTGTGTCATTAGTGTTTTCTAATAAGTCATCAAGATAGTTTAAAGAGCTGTCAAGTCAAAGTGAGTTTTATTAAACTAGTGCAGTGCCTGTTATAAACCTGTCTGTTCTCCTGCCCTGTGTTGGTGCTCTGGAGCTACTTCTTAATTATTCCTTGTCATTAGTCCTCCACAAACAGAAGGATTAATAATACTTAACTTAATAATAGTAGCTAATAACTTTTTATTGTTTGTGTGCTGGACGTTGTGTTCAGAGATTTTTGTAAACAGTCTGTGATGCAGAGTGACGCTAGAGAACCTTTCATTCATCCTACCTGGTTTATCTTAGGTAAAGATTTTATAGTCAAAGTTTTTCATATGAAGGAACAGCATTGGCTGCATTACTGTGGTTAATTATATTAATTAAGTGATTTTCATGACAGAGATCAAAAATCAAATTATCTAAATAATCTGGTGGCAATTTGACCTGTGGTTAGTCAGTAGAAGACACGTTCAACCGTCCACATTTATTAACATTGAACGTATCGCTTGTCCCAAACCAAATTCATCGCTACAATTCAACGTGGAAATAGTAGGTAGATGTTACACTGAATGAGGATGTACAGCAGCTTTTTGTTGATTAATAAAGCCTGATTAAGTATGTCAAATAAATTAAGTGGTGGAGGAAGTGTCCAGTGCAAATGTAGGTTTTGACAGCTCAACAACATTGCACCAGTTGCTCGAAAAGCTCCAAACTGTCCTGACAGATCATATAAACTGACCAAAAATGTCCTTGAAATATTGACCATGACACCATCCTGGAGACATCATGATGTGTGTGTCACATTGGGGACTTGTCTTACTTGACACGGAGGAAGTCCCCATAACATAAGTGTTTCAATATTTATGTTTTAAGTGTTTGTGTTTGACAAGTGATTGTTATGGTAAAGGTCAGACAAAGTTAATGTAAGTCTGTGTGTGTGCGTGTGTGAGGTTGAAATGGAAATCCTATTGCGTTGCATGACAGTCCATATGTATTCCCCTACACGGTATTGAGTATTGCTTATCTGTCTGCCTTAAATCAGGGCAGAGCAGTCAATCCCTTTAAATGACACTGCCCTTCATTACATAACATAAGAGCTGCACAGCCCACACACACACACACACACACACACACACACACACACACACACACACACACACACACCCACACACACACTATCACACACACACATACACCCTGGAGACAGACAACATGCAAACACAGTCAAACATAGACACGTTGGCATGTAGTGTTGATGCCAGGTGGAAACCTTGTATCTCCAGGAAGTAAAGAAAAAAGTTCTTGGTTACAGCTGAAAGTTGAATAAATCTGATCATTATATTGGAGGCGTCTGATCAGATTTCAATAACTATTCAAAGTTGATCAATTTTATTTTATATCTGACTATTTTTGTATGTGTTGGTCTATTAGCTCCACCAAGGAAGTTTTGCGGAGGGGTAGGGCATGACCCGAGGATCAGAGAGCATTGTGAGATTGGCAGTTTCGTGAACAGAAAATTCACAGATCTTTAAAAAATCTGACATATTTAGGGGACTGACATTTATGAAAATTGGTTCAGATCTAAATATAAAAACGGGATCTATAGTGAATTTAAATGTTAGTTTCAGATCCCTAATGTTTTGATGGAGGTGGGGGCTCTACTCTGTGCCATTCTGGATGGAAATACAAGGTCTCCTCATTGACAGCAGCTGGACTGCTGTGGCACACAAATTGCCCAGACACATACATCTCCACGCACACACTCTTACATGAATGCGCTGCGTACAGACACACAAACACACACAAAAGCACGATGTGTTTGAACCATGTGACCTCTGCTCCCAACATGTCCTCGCCCCCCTCACTCTTAGCTGGAAGTTGCACTGCAGTGCGTCGCCTCCTGGCTATCCTGACCTCTCACTGTGGTGATCTGAAGCGTGCTCACGCAACCTTAATGCCACCACTATCATTCTTGTTGTTAATTGAACTATAAATCACTGCAAGTGTGTGCCTGTGTGTATTTGTGCGTGTGTGCATAAATAGTGAAGGTCGTTGGTGTTTGTTTACTCTCTGTGTAAAGCCAGCCCCTCTCCAGCCGGGACCTTTCATTAGACGTGACACGTATGACCTGAGGCGGCGCTCTCCATTTCTTTTTGTTGGCTGAGGATTAGTGCAGCATGCAAAGACAATGAACGCAGAGATGGAGGTGTGTGTGTGTGTGTGTGTGTGTGTGTGTGTGTGTGTNTGTGTGTGTGTGTGTGTGTGTGTGTGTGTGGCAATGGTAATCTGAAAGAAGGATCACTCTAGATTTTAAGTTTCAAAGCTGATTTGGCAAAACTGGTGGGATTTCAGAGTGTTATTCACCCTCTGCTTGCAAAAACTGAGCAGGAAGAAATGGTCCATGCAAGAGATTGATATGTGCAATGGCATGAGAGCAAAGTGCAAATGTTGCCTTGTGCACTTGGCCACTTGAACATCCAACTCTGGAGCGGGTGAGTGACTGCACACATTTGTGTATTTCACCTTGTGAAGTGTAGTACATGAGGTCTTAGTTGCACGTACACTTTTGGACCAGGGATTTATGTCAGCGGGCTAATAACTCGATGAGCGTGCAGGCAGAGCAGTCCAGAAACGGTAAAGCTATAATCGTGGTGAAATTTCTTTAATCTCAAGGAGGAGCGGTAATCTTGTCGAGATGGGCTCACAGAGGGAGGGTGTTTATGTGGAGGAAGTGTTTCTATTTCAGTGAGGTGCTACCCTGCAGGAAATATTAATCCTGGCTGTGTGTTATCCGCCGAAATGTGGTTTGCTGCTCAGGTTAATAGGGAGAGGCACTAACGGAGATGCTGGTTGACGGAGACTGTTGACGTTGTTGTGTGTGTGTGTGTGTGTGTGTGCGTGTGCGTGTGTGTCCACCTTCTTAATTAAAATACAAAAGAAACGGAAAAGAAAAGTGAAAGCAAAAGGAGGATAGGATGAGGTGTGACACTTACAGAAAGGATGAGAGTGAGAGGGAACAGCTGCGGGGTAAAGCACAGTTTGGGAAAAAAACGAGGGGATGAATAGTCATGTGAGTAGTTGAAAACGGCCCCTTGTGTCTGCTCTTTCGGCCTCAGAGGAAGGGAACAGGGAATGAGAGGAAAGAGGAAGGCTGCAAGGGATGGAGAGAAGGAAAGTAGAAAGGAAGGATGCCTGGGGAGACACGGAAAGAGTGAAGACTTTGAGGAGCATCGGCAGCGCGGTTTGTGACAAAGGAACTCGGCACGTGACGAAACGGAGATTCACGGAAGGAAACAAGATCAAAAACAAGAAGCTCGGAAAGATAAGAGGAATGAGTTTGAGATAGAGCAGAGAAGGAGGAGAGGCAGTGAGCGAGGGTTAGATCATTTGGGATGAAAGCGGGGAGATTTGAGCCCATGCTGTGCCCTGTTTGCTGTAATGATTTCCTGAGGCGAACAGATTGAACCCTGGGCCACATATTGGACCACATATCAGGAGAGCGAGAGATGTCTTCTCTGCTCAGTGTTGTGCGTTCATGAAAGTGGGAAATAATTTGTTTCTTAGCTAATGGAGACAAAATTGGTTAGAAGCCCGGGGCATTAATTATTTGACGTTCAGTCCAAAAGTGTCAAGTCAAGGAATTCTTGAGTTCTCTAAGCATTTACTCAAAACCTTCTGCAGCAACAATTTTAATAGATATTTTTCATTTTTTGTTGTTTATTTCAAATATAAGTCATGCTTACAAGCAAAGCAAATGGTACACAAGGGGTGGAATACAAAATTATATGAGAAAGAAAAAGAGAATAAAGAGGAGAAACAAAGAAACAAGCAACAAAAAGAACAAAACAAAGAAATAAAATGCAAAATTAGAAACATGTTAAAGAAATAATGAGCAAAAGCAAAATAAGGGCTTGATGTGTGAATGGATGTACACATGAGCTTTATAGATGCAGTCCTATCCACGCATTTACAGACTCACAGCACCTTGAAATATAATTTGAAGTTTAAAAGCATTTTGTCGAACATTTCTCTCATTTATTCAGATTTTCTTTCAGATGAAACATTGAGAAATCACTCGGGTTGGAGTGACCTGGTCAAACTCAGTCATGTGTAGTTGGAGAAGGATAAGTGATTAATTGTACGCGTGCAAGCAAACACACACACACATGCACACACGTGGTAGTAGGCGCACAAATACACACTCACAAGCAGGATGATGTAAATTCCAAGCTGGCAGGTTGTGTTCACATGCGTTTACACAGAACGACATCTTGAGAATCTTTGGTGTCTTTTCTCGAACATCCCTGCAAACACATGCATGTACGTGCAATCACAAACACACAGATCTAAATGTATCCCTGACACACACACACAAACCTTTATCCACTTCTTATATCTACACTGTGTGAGAAACACCTTCAACATACTGACTGCCTCATCACACACACACACACACATCTACACACACATCTATCTTCCAAACTGCTCCTCACCTGGAGTTGATGTCAGCATGTGGCGCCCCTGCTCCGCTTCCTCCTCCGCTTCCTCCGCGGCTCTTCTCCAGGCCCAGTTTGGTGAAGATGCCCACCAGCACCATGATGGCCACCACTCCACAGATGATGTAGACAATGAGGTGCGTGCGGTCCCGGTCCTGGTCCTCCTGGCCCTCGGTGATGGTGGCTACGGGTTTACCAGTGTTGGCCCAGATGGGCGTGTCGTAGTTGGAGCAGATTCTCTGGTCCAGCCGCTGCTGGCGGAACTGGCAGCAGAAGCGGTAGAAGCATGTACCGCAGCAGTAAAGAAAGACACCGGCGTTGCAGTTGAACGGTGGGTCCCACTGGCCCATCACGTCGTAGTAACCCTGGCAACGGGTCCCGCCGACTGGAGGGACATCCTCGTCATCAGCGTCTCCACCACTTGCGGGAGTGGACACTCCCGTCTCTAGAGGGGTGTTTTGGGTTGTCTCCACATAGCTAGGAGTGGTCTGGTTGGCCACTGTGGTGGGGGCGATGAACGGGTCGCCCTTGGTTATTGTCATCGTGGTGACGGATGGGTCCTGGGTGAGGGCAGGCTGTGTTATAATGGGGGAGAAGAAGAAGAAGAAGAGGAAAAGGTGGAAGCAGGAAGGGTTGGTGGACTCCATGTTGCTGGGAAAACCCTTCTGTGCGATGTCCCACGGGCAGGCTTGGAAAAGGAAGGAGAATGGTTGAAGACAGATGGAAGTGTGTTAGAGAAAGAAGATGCTTTTGTACCTTGTAAACTTAACAACACAACATAGAAATAAGTCAAAAAACAAGAACATGCATAGGTTATCTTTTCACTCTTAATCGCTTTTTTCTGACAAAGCCAAAACGTTCAGTTAAAAACAAACTGATTTGTGACAAAGTCCTTTAACGACTCAAATGGATTTCAGCTTGAATGTTTTAAATAGATGATGCATCTATTGATCCTACATGCACATGGATTCAATGGTGAAAAGTGGGCAGAGGACACGTCAAACAGGTCAGTCCAACACACTAAGTCACTCTTTAATGTAAAAATGACATAAATGTGAAGTTTGCATTGAAAAATGCAGAAAAGAAAAAAAAGTACAACTTGCTTCAAAATAAGGGAAAATACGATTTTTTAGAAAGAGAACCCTAAGACACAAGAGGAGGACGAGAATTTAATGTTTAAATCATTGAACTCACCAGTTCCCCCTTTGCAATCTGTGCACAGTCGATGCTCCTCACTGATTCTTGACCAAAGTTCAAGGGCTGAAAATTCCCTCTAGAAATATCCACAAACTTTACTCAGGAGCATGTTTCACCTGAGGGTCCCCGCAGCTCTCTCTCTCTTCCTCAAGTGTTCTCCATCGTCAGCTGTGGGCTCGATCCAGAGAATTCAACAAACAAAAAGACACGCTCCTCTTATCCTCTCTGCTCTCCTTTTCCTTTCTCAGTTTGTATCACCTCCTCCTCCTCCTCTTCTTCTTGTCTTCTTGTCTTCTTCTCTTCTTCTACTTTGGGCACTGCTCTGTCAGTGCTGGCACATGTGAGTCCAGTCTGGTCCAGGACTGTTAGGATCTTCTCCTGCCAATTTACCCTGTGTGTGTGAGAGAGACACTGAGAGAGAGAGAGAGAGAGAGAGAGAGAGAGGGTGACTGTGAGTGTGTGTGTGTGTGGCTGCAGTGAGCGCTGCAATAGTTCAGGAACCAAATGAGATCTCCTCTTTTGTTAACCGCTGCTCAGAGCCAGATAGACAGACAGGGAGAGGGAAAGTGTGTGTGTGCGTGTGTGCGTGTGTGTGTGTGGTGGCAGTGGGGTGGGGGGTTATCCAGCTGCATCTCCCATCATCCCCACAGGAAAAAAGCCTGGAAGGAGAGAGGAAGGAGGTGACTGATGGGAAAAGATGCAAAGAGGAGGGAAAAACTGAAATGTGGACTGTAACTGAGTGTGTCGCTATATGTCAAATGTGTTTGCTTGGCTGACGGAGGACAGCCAACATCTGCTGCGGTCACTCCTGCTCATCATCTGCTTATCATCCCCCATCCTCATCTGTCTCCTGCTTTTTCTCCCCAACACATAATAAGACACACATATACAAACGCACACACATATGCACAAGCATTACCTCCTCCTCCCCTACCTTGCGAGCCCCTCATCTCCCACTTCTCCATCCTTTCTTCTCCTGTCTCTTAACGTCTCTTCCCCACCCTCCCCTCGTGCCTTGGGCATAGATAGCACACTTGTTTGCAGATTTCTGTGTCGAGTATGTGCACACATGGGTGTATGTGAGGTCTGTTTGCATCAGACAGATTCAGGAGTCAGCAGGGTCCGACTCCAGCTTTGCCTCTTCTTTTGTTCCAATCCCAACCTGCGTCGTAGATGCCAAAACCGGGAGCTGAGACTGGCACACATTGCTGAAAACTGCAGCCCCTGGACACGCACATACACGCACACACACTTGTGCAAACACATGCATGCACACGAACACGCCACATTCACAAAGACAAAAATCTTAACATATGCATATGGGAAAAAGAAATTACAAAATTGTAGATAAACACATACAGAGGGAGAGAGAGAGGGAGATACAACTGCTGAGGCCAATTATAAAAGCTTTTCACAAAGTAAACGACCACATGTATAATTTTAATGGAATTATAAGCCAGATTGACAAGGGACTTTTTGTTTTGCTTTCCGCTAATCGCCTCTCCCCAAATCCCCTCCTTTATGTCTTGTCATTCCGGAGCAAACTCTTCGCTTCCTCCACTTCCCTCTGATTTTCACTCTATTTGCGTGCTGGATATCAAAAGCGAGAGAGTGAGAGAGAGAGAGAGAGTGAGAGAGAGAGAGTGAGAGAGAGAGAGAGAGAGTGCAATAGAGAGAATGAAAAGAACAGAGTGAATGTAGGGCAGTGGGGAGGAGGCTGACAGGAAAGAAAGAAAGAAAGAAAGAAAGAGGGAGAGGTGGACGAGTGGGGAGAAATGATCGGCTGAGGACCAAGGATGAGAGGGGAGAGACACGTAGAGAGAAAGAGAGAAAGAGAGAGAGAGAGAGAGAGATGGGTTTGGAGGAAGAAGTGGGAGGGAGTGAGTGAGAGAGGGGAAGGGGGGCAGAGGATGAGGATGGAGGGAGCAGAGAGCGATATCAGGTACGGGACGAAAGAACGAAGGGAGGGGGAAACGGCTGATGTGATAGGGGGGAAAGAGCAAATGCGGTTAAGGACTTTTTGTTTATCTATTTACAAGATTCAGATTGTTCCTCACATCATCTGTTGTGGCGTGAACATCCAGCAGAAGCACACAGATGTTTGTTGCATCTGGACGAGTATTGATTGGAGCATAATGTGCAGAGGGTCACCGAGCCCAGTGGCAAACCACATGAGGACCAGGATGAGTTGTGTGTCATTTCCTGGCATGAGTGTTGTTTTTTTATTAATTATTAGTTGTTGCTGCAGGAAGCTGCTGTGATCATGAACTGCTGTACGATTTTGTGCCGTAATGAACGTGACGTTTCTCACTTGCTTCGAGTAAAGTGATTCAAATACTCTGGAACAGCAGAGCAGCACGATCTGTGGGGATCGTCTGACTTTGCCTCCACATTTGAGTGAAATGTCCTGACAATAAACCTTTTCCATGGAGGCCATTTTGACAGCATAGTTGTTACTTATGTCTTTTATGAAGACATATGAAGGGCTCATAAGCAAATGTTAGCAGCAAACAGAACATTATACTTGATTAATATCTGTAATTTAATCTTTTTGACGTCACCTTTCAGCTCAAAGCTCTGCAGGGAAAAGGTACATTGTTGTTACTTGTGCAGTGGCCGTTCTAAACCTGCCTGTTAAGAATGGGCTGTTTTCTTGGTCTGTGGTCATGTTGTTTGCATGATTTTCTTTCTCAAACTGTGAAAGTGACCTGCAGCAAATAAAGACCAGTGAAGTTCCACTCAGTCCACAGAACCCTGAACCCACAGAACCCTGAAGCTACAGCTCAGCTGCTGTTCATTCAAAGATGCTGTGAATGCTTCAGTTGTTGTGAACATGCTTTAGTCGTGATTGCCATCGTCACTCACTCCGCTGTTCTGCAGAGCACTGGTCTCCTGTTTGTTCAAAGTTTATTAGTATTTAACAAGTTGCGTGTCCAAATTGCACCAAGTTTGACACTGCACTTCCTCTGGTCCTCAATAAAACCAATGTGAAGCCGATGAGTTTTTCATAGAGCACCGTCTTGATTTGTGGTATGTGTAAAATGGGGCTGTGAATGTATGGGGTAAAAACATGGCTTGAAGCATGGTTTGTGTTTGTGTCTTGTTTAAAGGGAAAGTGAACATGATGCCTTTGTTTAAATGCACAGGGGTTGTTGCCACCATATGAATTCTGAATTAATGCTCATCTTGAACTAGATTCTCACAGTGCCTGCAGGTCTCTGACTTACTCCAGCACTTTGAATACACCAAATAGGTTGAATATCTCGTTTGATGAATTCAAAGCGACTATGAATATTTATATGTTGGCTTTGTGAGCTTCGGTGGAAAAATCATAATCCTAAAACCCCTGTTCACTTCTGCTGCTATAGCTGTGTACTTTGCTGTTTGTGGTCCATTTTGATCAACTTCACTACGATCATGGACGAACACACATTGTGTTACACCAAGACTTGATATTCCCAGCAGACAGTCTTCCAGCAGTATCAGCCTGGTTGTCATTTGTTGTGGAGTCATCAGAACACAAAGCTCCAGAAAAAAGTAAATGGATCTTGGGTTAAATATTTTATAATACAAAAGATGAAACTATTTACATACAAACAGGCCTTTGTCAAATTAAATCCTGAAGAAAAGATTGTCCTGAGACATCTGTGGGACAGTTCAAGCTTCTAAACCAGTCAAACTCACCAAGTCCCCACACTATCCAGGTATAGGTCGTCTTTTTTTTGTTTTTATGAAGTAAAAACACCAGATCGTCTGCACTTGATGTTGATTCAATCGTTATTTTATTTATCGTTATTAAATAGACAAAAATAGATGCGTTGGGATTATAACTATTCCAAAACATTTGAAGGCATCGACTCAATCTGGATAGGTTTCTGCAAAGAGCCTTGCTTATGTAGAAGAGACAATGCACATAACTGCAAACTTAAATTAACTACAGTATATGTCTCATTAGTTTGGACAAGAGAGAGATGAGCAGATGCAGAAGAAAACAGGAGTGTCAAAGGTTTTTATTACTTCTATTTGCAGTTGTGAGAATCTGTTTTAGCTAAAACCTGAATGCTGGATTTTCCCTTGTAGCATCTCTGTGTGTCTGTGTGTGTGTATGTGTGTGTGCGTGCGTGTGCGTGCGTGTGTGTGAGTGTGTCTGTTTGCTCATGAAAGCGAGAGAGTACTCCACTTGAAGCTGAGGAGCAGTGCAGGACTGTGATCAGAGGGAAGCCCCTTAATGAGTTGATCCAGGAGAGGCTTTGATGCTGATCTGCTCAGGGGATCCTGGGAAATGAAAAGGGGGAGGTGGGATACAGCGATGACCTTTAAACTTTTACAAGCAGTTGATAAACTCTTGCTGCGGGGCATCATTACTAAAAGTCAAGACATCCACCCATATGCAATATGTTCGGGGAACCTCATTTGACCAAATGTTGCTACATTTTCTGAAAAATGATGG